GGGAAGGAAAGGTACAGGCCAGAAACAGAAGTTTTAACCAGAAGGAGAAATCAGTCCCCCTGGGAGTTTAACTCAAAATTTCCCAAGTTCTAGTCACTCAGTGACTTTTCATTCCTTTACCTGATTCCACCCTCAGCCCAGTCCCTTCCAAGGTCTCAGGTCAGTGGGTGATAAAGCCAGCGCTGGACCTTGGTCCAAAGCTTTTGGCCCTCTCCCATGAGACCCATGGATCTCATTGACAGGTCCTTTTCAAATTCACCAAAAAACTTTATGCAGGAAAAAAGCTAGGTTAACTAGCTATGCTATGGTTTACTTATTATCTGCCTGTTAAGCATAATCAGGTTTCCTCATAATCAGTCATAATCCTCTCACCAACTCACCTTCCTTGGTTTTACATGCTCTCACCGTAGCTGGTTTTTATTTCTTCCTGCATGAGTGAGAGAAGAATTCTCTTCTTTGGACGGCAGAAGCAAAGAGCACAACTTTGGAGTCAGACTAGGGTTTGTGTTCCTGCTCTTTTATATGTGAGTCATAAAACCTAAACTCAAGTGTATCCTCTCTGAGCCTCTGCAAAATGGCAGGGTGGTGATTGGGATTAAATAGGATGCCCATTAAAAGCACCCAACAGTCCCTTGCTAATCATAAATGACCAATATCTTGTAACTATTAGAATTTCTTGCCTTTACTTTTTAATTATAGAATGTCAGTAATGTAGTAAGACTTAAAAACCAGCATTCCTTCCAGAAAAAAATTGTTCTTCTAGCGGCCTTACTTCAAAATCACATCACATCAATTGTCACTTTGCTTCTGCGTTTTGTGTAGACCCAGGTACCTGGGAAGGAGGTGGCCTGGGCCACAGTCCCCAAGCAGAGTGCACTGGGACAGAGTCCCAGGGGCCATCAAGCCACTATTTCTTGTTTGTCACCTCATCCATTTTGTACTAATTATTTAGGGCTGACCCTTTTTGACCTGTCCCATACCTGTAACTTCAGATCTCAGACAGCCAGGAAGCTCTCCTTCGTTTGTCCCAATTGTCTCCATCCAATATTCATAGTAAACTGAGGGAGGAAATGACACATGAATGATGTTCATGGCAGAGCGAGGAAAGGAGACACCATCCCCTGCGTGGGCATCCTCTGCAGCTGGGCAGGTGCTCGGCCAAGGGAGGAGTTGGTCAGGAGGGACTGAAACCCATACCTGTCTGCCGACCGGCTTCCAGGTTGACCTGCTGATCCCTTACAACCTTCACTCCTTTGGAAGGTGAGGGGAATCTGGGTGGAAGTTGGAGGGGAAAAGCAGCACAGGAAGGAAGGAGGAGGGGGAGTGCTTTGTTTCCCTCCTTCAAGCTCTGAGCAACTCTTTCTGGGAGATCTTGGTGATTCAGAGCATGCTCTGAGCTCTTGCCTCCTTGGCTACATTATTTCCCCACTCTCATTCACTTTCTGGTCATGACAGCTTTTCAGAAAATTGGAAGACAACTATGCAGGAAATCAGAATGGCATTGCTTAGGCATTATAAACCGCTTTTAATGGCCGAAGGTGCTATAAGGAAAACACACTTAAGTATTTGCATCTGTGGTGTTCTGCTATAAATCCCCAGGGCTGCTCTGTGGTCCTGAATACAGAACATTTCTGTTAGCCCACAGCAGGAATTTAAATGCTTCTGGGAAACAAAATCAGTAAATAATAATGTTCTTCTACATCAGATGTAGCTTATAAATGTGTTCAAAAGATTATCCTATAAAAGCAACGCACACATAAATCCTTATAATAAGAGCATTTGCTAGTGATAGTTTCCAAGATTTTTCATTGTCTCCTGCTCAGTTTCCACAAGTTGGCAAAGCTTAAGAGAAAAGTTTTAGATCTTTATCTTATAATGTAGTTGTTTATCAAATATCAGAACCATTTGCCAGGTAGAAGGCATTCTTGGGATTGGAAATAGACACAAAGGGAGGTAATCTGCAAATGAATTGATTTTTTCAGTTCACTTATTGCTTTGCCATATAAAAACCTGGGAGTGGATGAGACCAGTACTCTTTGTATACTACGGAATAATTTTTTTTCTAAGAAGATAGCAGTACCTCGTCAACAATTCTTTATGGGTGTCAGGTCTAACTTACATTGTACAATTAAGTACCAGGTGGGGATACAAGAAATCAGGTAGCTTCAGTTCTGTACAGCTGAATGAACTTGGCTTCTATATTCCAACATCCAAATGTGTTTACTAAGGCAGAGCTTATAATAAAAACGGGAAGAAAACTATAGTAGCTAGCAAACTTTTGCATATTCAGAAAAAGAAGGGATATGAATTCTAAAGTAACAATGAAAAATGTCTCCTTTAGAATATGTCTCTCATTGTATTGCCTGCTCCTCTAAATGAGACCCTCCTACCCTCCTTCACCCCCTGGGCTCTTGGAAAAATTTCTTGAGGAGAAAACTTTTACCCCAAATAATAGATGCAGCTGAGACCTGGTAATAAATAATTGAGTAGCCCTTCCAGCGTCGTAGGCTCACTTTGTGCTTTTTCTTACTCATCTGTGTTGGGCTAGCCTCCCTGAGTCTGAGTACATAGATCAAAGTACAAGTGAATAAGGATATTCTCCAACAGATCCTGTTCCAGGAATCTGCTCTGCAAATCTCCCCAGTCAGTCTGCAGGTATTTGTGAGCAGGAAGGAAGAAGGTGAATAAGAGTTGATAACAACCAGGGTACCTGGGTGGCTCAGGTCATTATCCTGGAGTCCCAGGATCAAGCCTTGTGTCGGGCTCCCTGCTTAGCAGGGAGTCTGCTTCTCCCTCTCCCTCTGCTCCTCTCCCCCCAGCTCATGCTTGCTCTCTGTGTCTCCCTCTCAAATAAATAAATAAAATCTTTTTTTAAAGTTAATAACAACCAACATTTATTAAGCATGTACCATGCACCAGAGGGGTTCTTGCTTTAAATTAGTATCTCATGCAATGCCCATAATACCCAAGAATAGTAATATTCTTCTTATTTTATGGAGGAGATAAAACTATGTAAAAAAAGTTTGAACAGCCAGTAACTGGTAGCATTTATGAATTCAGAGTAGTTCCCTTAACCATTACCCATAGCTAGCAGGAGCTTTTGCATTGGTGAATGCACTAAACCCTCCCAATAACCCAACTACAAAACATTATTATACTTCCCATTTTTTATATTGGAGTAACTCAGGCACAGGTAACTTTCTCAAGGTCACATTTAGTAAAGGACAGAGGCAGAATTTGAGCCCTTCCAAGGCTTATGTTCTTTCTACCACTACATATTGCTTCTATGAAGCATTTGGCATGCATATTTTTAAAGAGATCCAGTGCCCAACTTTGTATTTAATAAGGCAAATATAAGAGAAAATCATTCAGCTGGTCTTATACTCTCTAGCTCTATCCATGTGGTTGTAAATGGCAAGATTTCATTCTTTTCTATAGCTGAGTAATATTCCATTATATACATATGCCACATCTTCTTAATCTATTCATCTATTGATGGACAGTTGGGCTGCTTCCATATCTTGGTTATTGTAAATAAGACTCCAATAAACAGACGTGTATATATCTTTTCAAATTAGTGTTTTTGTGTTCTTTGGGTGAATACCCAGTAGTGGAATTACTGGATCATATGGTAAGATGAAGGGGATTAAAAGTACCCTTAACTTGATGAGCACTGAGTAATGTATAGAATTGTTGAATCACTCTCTTGTGCACCTGAAACTAAGATAACACTGTATGTTAACTATACTGGATTTAAAATTTTTTTAAAAGAGACAGAGAAACGTTCATTAGACCAAGAGATATAATCTTAAGATTCTGCCCTTTTACTTGAAAGGGGAGAGTGTTTGAAGGGTTGTGTTGGCAGGGAGGGGAGTGGGCTTTAGTTTTCAAAGAAGGTGTTGTGGGAAAGGAGTCTGTCTCTGTAATTTACAGGAGAGATGGGAGGATATGCCCAGGCTGCTAGGAGAAGAACTTTTGCACCGAGTACAATGGTAGTGGCTGTCAGTAATGGAAACCTCAGTATGGGAACTTAACTAGGAGTTAATGTTCCCCATAGACAAGCAGCTTAGTGGCAGGAGACTTCAGGTGTTGTTCGGCTGCTCAAAGCTGCCCCTGGAACCCAGGCTCTTTCTTCTTTCACCCCTCCTCCCCTACCATGTTGGCCTTCTCAGTGAGAATCATAAGACATCTGCCATAAAATCGAGAACACAAGGGCAGGGGCTGCACCAGCTACACTGGTCTCATGTGAGCAGAAAAGCAAGAGCTTTCTCAGACCCTTCCTCACCCTCAGCTAAGCTCCACTTCAATCTCATCAATTAGCAGTGTGTCCCGTGGCCACCCCAGCAGGCAGGGAGGCTGGAGAAAAAGCAAGTGCTTACCTGCACCCATGGCCCCCCAGCAGAATTGCCTCCCATATGGATGGCACAGTGTGTGAAATCGGGAAGAGAGTCTGCCTTGGTTTGGGAATGGAGAGGAGTTAGGGCAACAGGGCTGTAATTGGGAGCAGGAAGGTGAGCCTGAGGAGGAATATGGTCGTGGCTTTTGTATCTGTCATTACACTGAAGAGGCCCCAGAGTATCACATCAATGTTCTAACCCTTCCCTTCCTCATCCTGTTCTTGACTCTCTATTCTTCCTGCCCCGGGCCCAGACCAATCATCTGACTCACTGTCTTCTTTTAATATCAAATTAGATAAATCATTGCTAAATTAGTCAATGAATTAATGAGATGAGGAAATTCCAGGCAGATATCAGCTGGTGAGGGCCTCTGCAATGGGCAGGAATTGTCCCTGCTTCAGAGGAGAAAGTTCTCAGGAGCCTGTGGAAGGGGTCTAGAGGTCGTTATAGAATCCTCACGTACAAATGTTGGTGTCCCAAGCTCTGACAAGAAGAATCTGAGGCGGTTGAGGACTCTTGGGTCTTGGATTGAAATGACTCTCTACGACCTTGTTGCTACTTCCTGTGATTACAGCTCCACGGTTTCCTTCTTTATCTTTGCAGAGCCAGCTCTCCCAGGCCCTGAACGGACTATCAGACAGGGCCAAAGAAGCCAAGGAGTTTCTGGTGCAGCTCCGCAACATGGTCCAGCAGATCCAGGTATTGGCAGCATCTGAGACAGAAAGCAAACGCCATGGGTTTAGATGTAGCTGCATCGTGGGGAAATTCGTCTGTTTCTTCTACTTTTCTGTATTGTGGGGAAATTCCAGTTATTATTTTCTGCTCTGTCTCTTCTAATACAAACACACGTACAGATCAGCTTCAAATATGCCCCCTTCTTGAGGTGGTTTTATTTTGCCAACCAGCCAGCGACACAACCTGGTTTTCCAAATAGCTCCTGTCTTCAGCACTGAGGTTCCTAATTCCCTACTACTGTGGATTTAGAAAGAGATCTCTTTGTGAATTCAGAGTCATAATTATTGAGTTTTTTAAACTCTACAGGTTTGCAAACCACCTTGCCGTAATTATGTCTTATCCAATGGTAACAAAGGGGTCACATTTTCCCCTCCCTCCCTTCCTTCCTTCCTCCTTCCCTCTTTCCTTCCTTCTTGCCCATAGTAATGCTTCTTCTCTACTTAGATACTTAAATATTTTCCAACCAAGATACCCTCCCACCGGTAGCTATAATTTCAGATTGCTTTATTTGGACACAGTGACCTACAGATCAGCCAACATTTGAGAGCTCGTGAATTCTCCACTATTGCTAAAGGGAAGAAGCCACAAAATGCACGAGATGCTTAAATAATGACCTTCTGCACTGTTTACTGTTCATACATTTCGAGATTGCCTCACAGAAATAACCTTCCCTCTGGCGTCCAGTAAATTGCTTTCTGAGTTAATATTTAAGTCATGTCAAGGTAGAAATATCTTTTTAAATGTAAGCCAGCCTTTCAAAGCCTCTCACACTGATTTCCTCACCTTTTTTTGCATGCATGCCCATGTTAAAACTTTTGATTCCCTAACAGCCTAACAGTTGGACACTTCCTTCCGTTTTCCAGGCCAGCAGAGGTTATCCGTCAGTCCTTTCTTTGCTTTTGCCTCTGTACCCCACCTCTTCAACAGAGCAAAGCTTTCTTTGTGCTCTACATCAGAACTTGTAAGAAGGCTGCCCTCATCCTCCCAATATTACCCTGCATGGGACATAGAGAGCTCTTAAATGATGTTTTCTATAGGACTTCTCTGAGTACTCAAAAAGTAATTGTCATGAAAGCCGAAATTTCACATGTAGAAGTCATTGCTCTAGCAATTACTAATGCACACCTTAAACGAAGAAGACCTTGCATTTGAGAAGTTATCAGATACCTATCGGTATGTCCTCATATTAAGAGACACAGTTCTTTATGACTTTGGGAATAAATTAAAATTTGATAGGCTAAGCTGTTCTTTCCTTGCCAACCCCCAAAAGCTTACAGTTGACTCAGTTGGATGCTATTTTTTCAGTGCTATTCGTGTATATGTGAGAATTCATCTTCCATTTGCTATAAATTACAATTGTTTTGCAGATTATGGTTTGACACTCAAAATTACATATGTAATGTATTGAAAAGATGACTGTTCATAAATGTTTATGATTTAGGAGAGAATTGCTTAAAAAGAAATGTCTACGGCATGTATAGGTTTAAATCAAGTAAATAGTTAGATCCGGCATTCAATTTAAACATCATGGAGAAGCTATAATTCATTTAGAATATGGTTAGCTTTCTCCCACAAGCGGCTGGTTCATGGCTTAACTTTTACAGCTGGGTGATGCCTGTTACATATACTAATTGTTCTTGACCGCCTATGTGCATTAACTGTTTGCTTTCCTTAATGAAAGGAGCGAGTACTTTTGCCCATGATTATTCTTATAAACTTCTGTTGTCATTGGGTTATTGTTTAATATTGAAGACCACTGCTGTCCTCTTTCTTCTCTCTCCTCTGGAATTGAATAATTCTTTAACTCTCATGCCTCCACCATACCCAATCTGTTCAGGCAGCCAGCCTCTCTGAACGCCACCTTCCACCATCCATAAGTGGACATATACACCAGTCCTCAGAAGGATTCATGTTCAACTCTACAAACTAAGCTTTATTTTACACAATATAATGTGAACTGTGGAGATGATTTCCTTTTGGTAAAAATGAATTTATTAAGTAATAGTTATCCTTCTCAATGTAAAATTCAAGAGGACACTACCGCTGTAGAATGAAATTTATCCAGTTATTTAAAAAAAGCTAAATGTGCATTGTAGACAGAGTTCCTTTTCATCTCCTTCAGCAGGGATTTCCACCCCACAAATGGACAGGGGAGATATATTTTTTCTGGCAGCCCAAGGAGCCCAGGTACTTTGGGGCTAAGATATGTACTCTCTCACGCAGGAGAACAGCGTGGAGTTTGAGGCTTGCCTGGTGGCCCAATGTGATGCCCTCATTGATGCCCTCAACAGAAGGAAAGCCCAGCTACTTGCACGTGTCAACAAGGAGCATGAACACAAGCTGAAGGTGAGTGCTGTGCCATGGGGAGAGCAGAAAGCCGAGGAGCCAGGATCCCAGGGCCAGGATGGACAGGCTAGGCGAGTAGGCTGGATGCCCACAGTCTTGGGAGGCCAGTGGCCTGGAGGGCAAGGAGCCAGCACCCCTTCATTCACCATGCACACCCTCATTTACCTCACTCATATTTGTTGAGTGACTCCCCTGGGTCAAGAATTGCTCTGGGTACAGGCACAATTAGATAAATAAAAATTACTGCCCTCATGAGGCTTACCAGAAGGGATAAACAGTAAGCAGGATAAGTAAGTAAAATATGCAGTATTTAGTAAAAAGCACTAAGAAAAATAATAAGGGATAAGGACTGGGGAATACTGGGGAAAGGGGTTGAAATTCTAGACAGGGTTGCCAGAGTGACCATACAGAGGCAAAGGTATTTTTGAAATAGGAATGGAAACTGTACTTCACAGAAAACAAACAAGATTTGTCTTCACTTCTGAAGTGAACTGGACAACTGGACAGCTGCATGGACTTTTGTCATCACACCGTGGAATCAATTGATTATGAGTCTGGGGCCCCATTGGCAAAATGATTTGTCCTCCTGGAGACATCTGATACTGCATCCATTGCCCCTTTGGAGCAGGGCAACAAGATGTGAGAGCAGGCTGGAGAGATGGGAAGGACCCAGCAGGAGGGAGCTCGGAAGCAGGCAGTCAGCAGGGGTCCACATGCTTTGCCATAAGCCCTGGGGTAGCTACCAGTGGGGGGAGGATAAGGGGTTTGTAGTGCTGGCCTGATTAGGGTAGAGGGAGAGGTGAGGTCTAACTACAGGCTGTCTGGTGGGGTTAGGCAGTCAACAGCATGGAGCTTCAATAGTGGGCAGCAGAGAATGGATACAACCTCAAGGGAGCTCGTGAAAGGCCCCATAAGCATCAGATACCCCCGGCAGGTTTGGAACAGGCTGTAGTCCCCGAAGAACAGGGGAAGGCCCATTTCTAAACAAATGGGATTCCACTAGGAGAACCAAGGAAGAGTTTCGAAGTGAAGAAATAAGAGAACACAGCTTACAAGATTTGGGACTCAAGCTTCGTGGCAGGGAAGCTTCAAGCCGAGCCAGTACCCATCTTGTGGTGACCAGAAACAAGGCAATAAACTAGTTGCTAACTAGGGCATGAGTCCTGGGCAAGACCCACAGTAAAACTGGCAATGCTGAGCCCTGAGCAGCAGAATCACCAATCTTCCAACTCTACTGTGTGCCTCAGCCACACACTGGGACCCTGAGTGGGTTGGGTGCGGGGGGGGGAGCGCTACCAGAAGGCAGGGGGCCAGGCAGCCTGATCTAGAACAACTGCTCCCCAGGGAAACTTAACAGTTTTCTTCAAAAGTAAGAAAACCCCAATCTTGCTTCCTCCTCTAAGAGGCTCCCCCTTCCACCACCCACCTGCTGCAAACACAGGTAGAGCCACACACCTGCTTCTTCCTTCCCCAAAGTCAGGGCAATGATGTGGCTGGAATATACACCTTTCTCCCCTGCCTCAGGTGTCACACTGAGAGGGCCTGTGGAACTGCACCAGGCAGGAGGCAGAGCTGGGATAACAAGGTCCAAGCCTGAAAGCGCTCCTGAGGGCTATGCCCTGTGATGAAGTTTCCTGGCCTGACCCCCTCTGGTGCTCGGTCAGGGCCACGGCTCTCTGAGCGTTCCTGAGGAGGCACCGGCAGCACACTTTTATCAAGGAGAGGCACAGCAGATGCCTTGATAAAGAAAATTGCACGGCTTGAAGTTAAATCTGACGCAGGAGTTGGGAAAGAAAAGTGCACAGGGCTCTAATGTTCCGAGAGCCTCAGCCTGTTGGTTTGGACAGGAAACCAAGGCTGGTGTTGGTAACACTCCTTCCAGAGACTCCATTACTGTTTCTTAGTGGTGGGTCTAACTGGAAGACCCTCCTCGGCTCATCGTAGAACGAACTCAAACCTGTTTCCATCACCTGCCCTGACATTACTAACAGATGGCCACTGTAGCCCTTCATTTCACACCCTTCAGAAACCTAAAACCTTTATTGTTACAGCGGAACTCAAATACCCCTTGCATTACACGGAGCTCTCTAAGGTAAAACCACAACTGGCTATAGGAAATGAGCTGGACGGCTGGATTTTCCCTCTAGATAGTAGACCAGCCATTTTAGTACGTAGTCACCCAATGTTAACTTTTCCTCAGTGGAAAACTCTTTTTTAAGACATTGCAGACACTTTCTTGGTATCTTTAAACAGAACACGGTGAACCATTTGTGATCAGTCATATGGCGCCTACAGCGGCCAACGGCAGGTTTTCTGCATGGGAGGGCCCTAAGGGCAGCGAGCTGGACAGAAAGGGGAAGCGCAGATTGAGAAAGCATCATTTATCCATATCGAACAGCAGGAGACGGGCGTGAGAGCCCCCAAGAGCCCCGCTTAATGCTGTCCCTGTGGGCTGGGACTGTGTGAGAACCCGTTATGGGCTGTGCTGGGGGCACAGAGAGAGACCGCCCCAGAACAGCTGCTCCTCATTGCTGAGACTCCAGGTCCGGCGACTGTCTGTCCGTACTGGTGACCCGCCACAGAGCTGGGCACCCCGATGCACCTGAGGCCACCGAGTGGAGGCAGCTGCCTGCGCTCATTCCGCCCTGCCCAGCGTGGAGTGCCCTGCCCCAGATCCCGAAGGACCATGGAAACAAGAGGCAGGTGGCTGGTTGTCCCCCACGGCAGCAAAGCTGCTCTGTCTTCTGTCGTGAGCGATTTGTTTCTCTGCTGGTTTCAGCGGATTGTGTGTCACTGCTAAAAACCACCAGAAGCGGACGCCAGCCTCCAAGCCTCTCCCCCTCCCTCTGCTTTTCTCCTCCTGCCGTTCCCCTTTCTTGTCATTTCTGTTGCTACTCAGATTTGTGAGAAAAGACTGGCCTTTTATAGACATCCCTTGCCAAGCACAGTATTTCTTTCTGTCTTTGTTGGCTGACCCATCACTCACAGTCGGGCAGGGATAATCTTATGGTCTTCCGCTCCCCTTTGGCAGAGTTCTCTCAGGGCCTGCTTTTCGCTGACAAAGAGGAGAGTTGTGTGTGTATTTTTCTGGCAACTTTCTCTTCTTGAGCAATCCAAAAGGCTGGGGATGCTGGAAAGGGAGTGTAATAAAGACTGTCTTTATAATCTCCTCATGCCCCTCTCTGAAAGCATGGATTGCTTGAGCAGATTGGATGGTTCTGGTTCTGAGACAAGCCGGAGCTGAGAGGTGAAGAGCCCAGCTTCTGTGTCATAAGAACGGGGTGTGAGGACACACTTTATCACTTCCTAGGTCTCTAACTGTGGGCGAGTCTCTGGCTCAGTTACTTTCACCTGCGGGTAAAATCAGGCCAAGAATGGCCATCACCTCACAAAACATTGCCAAGCACTTAGCACAGTCCTAAGGAAATGTTGTTAGCACCGAGAGAGAATGCCTGGAAATGTGGCGGCACCCAGCACGCCGAAGAAGTGCTCCTAGGAGCTTACTTTCCATTAATACCAGAATACCAGAGTGGTGTAGAATTAGTCTATACACAGGTGTAATTGCCTCTGAACCTAGGAAAGTGGCTTGCATTTTTAATTGATCATCCTATAAAAATAGTTCACAAAGTTTGGTGAGCTATTTTTAAAGTTAGTAAAAAAAAAGGCTTTGAGATATATGTATGCAGCTGTGACCATATTTTAAGAATATTTTAAATAAAAATTATGTTTAATACTATTTGTGGTTTGAAAAGAACAACACTGGGAGACAAATATCTATTTTGGGGATGTAGTGAACTAATCAAGTGTCAGAAAGCTACTGAAGGGGAAAAATACTTTTGAGCTTTCAAGAAATACTACTGATTCGTGTTTGGGACTACTTGGGCAATATCCCCACAATAAGAACGGTAAGCCTGATCCCCCAGGTATCTTGTTTGAGCTATATGTTTTGTTACCATTCTTCTTGGGCCTTCCTGACCTGAGCAAGGCCTTAAAATATCCTCACTGTGATCTGCATAGGGAATTTGTGACGACGCTTACACATGCCATTAATGAGATCCGTGTTTTTCTCAGGAAACTTACAAATGTCATTTCTGAGAATGATTTTTATTTATGTAACACTCAGAATTTGAAATAATTCTACAATCATCTTAAATGTATATTTGCTCCAATATTTTAGAGTAAATTCATATGTTGAATAGTACAAGATGACAGGAGTCTTCTTGGTTACCTTTTAATTCTAAGATTCTCTGGAAGGAAAAAAGTTATAGTTATTAAAATATTCTGAAAAAGTCTAATCTTTAATTTCCATGTGTGGTTGGCCAAAGAACGTACCAACAAAATTAGCAAGAATGCTAAAAGATAATGATAAAATTTGCTGTTTTTTATAGCTTTTCATTTTTACAGAGGACTCCCACACCCCAATTGTAACTATATATAGAATGTTTGACTTTGAACCCAAATGTACTGTTGGGTTTTGTTAGAATCGTTATCACTATTGTCATCATTGTCTTTATTATTATTTACCATGTATTGTCTGTCATGTTCCCATTGTGTTTATTAAAAAAATTAATTATATGGCATATCGGTCAGAGTACAGATTTACACTAGGGACATTATTGGCTTGTCAAATGCTTACTTAAGCTATTTTGCCATTGCCTCAAAACAGGCTAGTAACCCTTTGATTCAGACTGGGCTGGGGGAGGGAAAGAAAGAAAGAAAAGAAAGGAAGGAAGGAAGGAAGAAAGAAAGAGAAAAAAGAGGGAGAGAGGGAGGGAAGGTGGAAGACAGACCTATCCAAGCTTACAAATTTTTTTTTAAATAATTAGATAGGATTTGACAGGCTACAGCCATTATTAGAAAGAAAAAGCAACAAATTTAAGCCAATAATCAGCTCAAACCCAATAAAACTACTGGCAATGAGTTCTGTAAGTCCATTTCAATGAAGACATTTGGAAAAATTAGGCACACTGGAACACTTGAAACCTTTGACTGCCCTTGGG